TTTTTCACAAATGTTTGTAAATGCAGACTGAATGGCTAGGTGCTTAATTTTATACACCGGTGTCAATGTATAAAATGAATATGTAATTTCTTTCTTTTTTTTGTTTTTTTTTGTTTTTTTTGTTTTTTGAACATGAACAACATCAGTCAGAAAATAATAATTGTAACAGTGACATGTTTTGTTGTTTACCCCTTACCCCAACTTAATCAACCCCGCCCCTGAAAAAAAAAAAATAATAATACAATTAAATAAATAAAAATAATTAAATTGCACAATGTAGAATAAAATGTATAAAAGAGCACAGATAAAAGGAAACATTATATAAATACATAGAATAAATGGTTGGGTCAAAAAAAAAGAAAAACTGTTTAGACTTTACAGAAATCAGGTAACAACAATACAGATATATATGACATATTTGATTTTTTTCCTCTTTTATACTACACTCTCAGTCAGGGAGAGAAAGGGACCCCACGTTTTCATAAACACATCACGGCGTCCTTAGGCTTCAAATATTACACGTTTATAACTTGCAATATTTGACATGAGTTCCATCCATTCATCAATATGTAATATCTAAAATTATATACACTACCGTTCAAAAGTTTGGGGTCGGTACGATTTTAAATACTTTTAAAAGAATTCTCTTCTGCTAACCATGGCTGCGCTTATTTGATTAAAAATACAACAAAAATCAGTTATAGTATTAAATATTATTCCAGTGTAAATCAGCTGTTTTCTGTGTGAATATATAGTAAAGTGTAATTTATTCCTGTGATCAAAGCTGAATTTTCAGCATCACCAGTGTCAGTGTCTTCAGTGTCAAATGATCCTTCACAAATCAGTATAATATGAGGATTTGATGCTCAAGAAACATTTATTATTATTATCAATGTTGAAACAGTTGTTGGTCTGTCAGTTGTACAGTTTTTTTTTTTTTTTTTTTTTAGGATTCTTTGATGAATAGGCAGTTCAAAAGACTTTTGTAACATTATAAATGTCTTTACTGTCACTTTCGATCAAATTAATTATTCCTTGATAAATAAAAGTATTGATTTCTTTCCTCCAAAAAATAAAAATAAAATTCTCACTGACCCCAAACTTTTGAACGGTAGTATATATATATATATATATATATATATATATATATATATATATATATACAAGAATGGTAGTTGTTCTACTAAATTGTGGCACACTGCCACCCACCCGAGACTATTTCTAAGATGTTCTTATCTCTAATACATTCTCCTGCTTCACATACCTTTACAGTCATATCATCTGCTGCAGTAACCCAAACATTTTCACAGTACTAAGAAAAGCAAGCAAACGCGTGTAATTCTGCTCAATTAGTGATAGCGAGCAGTAACTCAAGCGGTAAAGAAAACAAGCAACGCTCTGCTGTTTTTCAATAACCATGGCTTAGCCAACTCGGCAGCTGGGCAACCTAAAGACAAGAATCTCTAAGTACCATTGGGAATTTGCGATACAAAAACCAAGCATCTCCAGTGCTTTCATAGAAGAATATGCTCTGTGGCCAATAGAGGGAGCTTCAGAAATCATGTCCTCCTAACTGCCAGTTTGACATGTTCAGGCATCAATAGTGGAGCTGTACAATGTACACAAACAGCTGATTTTGTGTTGTTTTCTTCATGCTTCATCCTGATGTTTTATTCCTAATCAGTATTTTCAAATGAAAATGATTTATTGAATTTAATGGTGTGGATTTCATTATGATTCAATTTCGGTCAGAAATGTTAAAAATGTATTTATCCATTAAAATAAATATTTGATACATCAGTAACTATAAAATTTGTATCTACATATTTATCTACATGTGCAGTTGTTAGAATAACATTTTTATTTTTTAAGGAATTATGTTCTGTCGAAATGAGTATTTAAGTGTCTTATTTACAGGTTTCCATCGAAGAGAAACTTCCTGTTTTTAAAGTGAGCTTGCATGTTATTAAGTCCAATAACTAGTATACATTATAAATTACCGCTAATACCACACTGTGAACAATTTCACAATGTGACTGATCAAAACAGACCGCATCATTCCATGGCCTATAAAGATATTTTGTGGCCAATTAAAGACACGTCTTAAACAGCACAAGACACTCTTTGTTTGTGTTGCTAAGACAGTCAATAACAAAACGTCTCTAACCCCCCAAATGTTTTGCTCCAACACAATGAACATTTAATTGATTACAACCATTCCCATCCCAACATATCAACAAGAAGATCAGAGGGCAACGATTCTTGGGAGCTCCGCACGCTGCTTATTTTCCTCTATTATTTGAGTCTCCTCACGTTCTGTGTCTTAGGAGCCAATACCTACACCATTAGACCAATCAAAAAGTCCTTTTCCCATCATGCTCTAATGGTTTAACAACAGAAAAGAGACAAATATTCCTGTGGGAAAAAAAACCCAAAGCTTAGCATTCGTCTTTATTCTTCTCCGAAAAAAAGGAAAGGTTTCTCTGCAAGAACCCATTTCTCCACAGATGTGTCATTGCTCCACAGCAGGGGGTTTGAACTTTCTAATTCTTTTAAAAACCTTCTTAGTGAGATGTCCTGCGGGAGCCCCAGTAATTGCAGTGTTGATCTTTTTACCCTCTGTTCTGTGTTCTGTTTCTCCTGTAGCGTCACATCTTTTGCCCACTCATGAAAGTAGGAAATGCTTATTAAAGCAAGACTGGGAATTGTTTAACCTGCTGGTCCATTCTTAAAATGAGCATAATTAGGTAAATAATGAATAAATTCTTTATTTTTACAACAAAAAAAAACCTGCATTCTATTACTGGAAAACACTCAAAATACGTTAATTGTACATACTGTATTTTACTTCTCCTCCTTCATTTTTGTGACATTTCCATGTCTCTGTGTTCCGAATCAGCTGTGAAGACTTTCTTGGAGAAGTTCTGAAACCTAACAGACTGTGAATAATTCAACTGTCCCTGGTGGGACCATTTGGACAAGGACAAGAGCTAGTACCACGTACATTGCCATTTCGCCAAGGAAAAGTGCACGCACACCTCTTTTTTTGTGGGAAAGTACAAAAAAGCATTTTGTACAAAAAAAGCATCAGCATTATCTTTTGCCTTTGGGCTCTTCTGGTAATCCCTACAATCAATTAACAAAACTCCTTTTTACTCATATGAATCATTACATCACAAGAAATCATTATGTGATTAATCAATGTAAAATTACTGTAATGAGTTTGCCTTTTTACCAAATGATGTCCTTCTCAGCCATTTAACTCATGATCAGAAGATGTGTTATTCAGCCTTGGATAAATGTCATTACTAAATTACGTTAATGCTCTACAATTAAAAAGATCATAGAGAAAGGGGTTCCCCAGTTGACACTAGGACACAATTAAAATCAGCATGTGTAAATTCTTGACCGCAGATCTCTTGGCAAGGATCCACACCAGATGGAAGCAGGATTTTGTTTTTCTGAAAGTTGCGACATCTTACTGGTAACCATTTGTGTGTGGAAATGTGTCCGTTGTAATGTTTTTAACTTGTCGTGAACTAGCAATAAAAAATGAGCTGTGATGGTGCCTAATTGAAGACAGAGATGATTATCAATTCATTTGGAGTCAGCGAGGGCTGTTTACCCTCACTCTAGACTAAAGCTTTAAACCGTACCGACTCCCTCCTTGTGACTTCACTGTGACTAAAACCCCCCTGCCACATTTAAGTAACTTTCTGTGGTTCGCTTTATTGATACCACTATGCACATACTCTTCATTTAAGCCTTGAAATGAAGAATTACAAAGGAGCATATGGAATTCAAACATTACAAAAGCTGCGGGAAGGTTTCAGCTTTAATGGGCTTTTGGCTCTTTTCTCAGCATGTAAGATGTGGTTGTATTTTACATTTGTCATGGGGTTACTATAAATTCAGTGTCCATAATTGCGTTTCCAGGTAACATAAACACCAAGAAAGAGTCTATATATAGGAATTAAAAATAGACAGTATGATGTATTTTCAGTTATTAAGACTCTATTAACTGTGAAATTACAGAATAACATATAATATATATATTAAAAGCAATTTAAGAATAAAACTAAAAAAAAATTATCATGTAATAATTCCGTAAAAAATTGTTAATTGCTTAAAAAAGGCTATTCCCACCACCGTTATTTCCCAGGAATAAAATATACAGTTCACTAAACACGTTTGACCTTCAGTGACAACATGCCCCAATAGGGATATATGGGGGAAGTTTACACAGCAGGTTCTTATGTCTTTTTTTTATGGAACACAATACAATTCATAAAACAGCTAAATACATGTAAAGGGTAATGAATACATTTTATAAATGTGAAACATTTTATACACAATTCATGTGACAACTCACCAATTTGATATTTATGAAAAAATACCCTTGTCCTGTATACAAGTTTTAAATCACTCTGACTTGTTTACATTTATAGAAAAATATGATACATTTTTATTTTTCAATTTAGAAAATGACTTTGTTTAAATATAAGAGGGTTTAAAATCCATTTGTTTACTGCTAAAGAAAAACATTTGTGTAAAAGATTTTTGACTCGCAATCTTATAAATCCTTCCATTGAATAAAGACAACGTTGATTTTTATCCATATTTAAATAGCCTATATACCATTTCGGTATAGACATATGCTTGTCTGATTGTTTATCCCTGCCTGACTCTTTTTCTGTTTCTGTGTCATATATCCTATATCTTTGTTTGTCATATATCTCAATAAAATCCTCCAATTGAATAAAGACAACATTGATTTTATCCATATTCATAGCATGAAAGTACCTCAGATATTATTCTCTATCTGTCCCAGACCAATCCCTCACATCTCAATAGGTCCTAACCTCCCTGTTTATCGGTTCAATCTGGATTTGTCTAATGAGGCACTTGTCCTCTATGGCAGTGTGCAGTGTGTGTGTGTGTGTGTGTGTGTGTGTGTGTGTGTGCTGACGTAGAGGTGGGCTGGCAGAGAGTTAAGTGGAGTAGTCTGAGTGCCATCAAGATAAGGCAAACATCAGAAGTCCTGAAGACAGTAGATTGCTCAGTCTGAGTGCTGATGTATACATGAGTGTCTTGTGTCAGATGATATCAACGGATCCTCACAGCGTCAGCTCACATGTTCATTCATTCATTCTTTCAACAGAAAGCACCAGCAGAAAAAAAAAAGTTGTAAAGTGGTTTCATGAATGAGGTGTCACGACATCGCTTGGCACTCTCCAGCATCATTTGATTTTTTCGTCAGATTTGGACGATCTGAAGCTGATCGCTGGAAAGCTGTGCGCGTATTGCACGGATCTTCTCCTCAAGCAGAGTTGTTGTGAGAGAGTTTTGCAGAAGAGCAGCAGCAGCATGGATTACTTTTTATTTCGACTCTTCTGTTCTTTGGCTTTGACGTCGCTTTTAGTTCAAAGGTAAGGACTTTTCGAGTTAAATTGAAACGATTGCATTCGCTTCTGCGCGTGAATATCTATGTCTATTTACTGTAAACGTTTGCTCACAAACATACACTAAATAAATTGCCATGATATTCTGTTCTTACGTGCTTCATAAAACCTTCAAAACAAGAAGTTTTGCACATCCGTTTTTTGTTTTGTTTCCAACATCTTTGAGAAAAGTATAGTAGCCTACATAGTACAGTATAGTAAGTTTTTTTTTTACTCTTTTATAATGTAACTAAAGTAGCCTACTTGTCATAAAGTGCCGAGGTTGGCTATTTGGTTCACTTTTGATTGATAGATTTAAATATTTTGATAATAAAAAATGTCTTCATTTAATATCAGTTATACAGTAGTTTATTTGCAGTTTAGTTACATTGTTTGTATAATTTAGTATAATATATGTGTAATATAATAGTGTATAAATAATGTATAATATAGTTTGTATAATATTATATTGTACTGGTAATTTGCATTGCATTAGTTAGTTTATACACTAAGTTAAGTTTCACATAACTTTTCTTTAATGTAGGCTACTGATGTTGCATCTGATATTTTGACAAGTAATCTCAAATCAACCTCCTTTGATGCCATATTTTCTGCATGTATATAGTATCTATTTCCAGCATGGTGCATTTTGTATTAGTCATGAGCATTGGGCTCCACAGTGGCTCAATGTCTCTAATGTGTGACACAGCAGTTTTGTATGACCCATGGAATATTTTTATATTATAAACATGTACACAATGCAAAAGAACTCATAAACAGAGTATTTATTATTTATTACCTCTTTAAGCATCTTTGGATACTTGATAAGGTTTCGTTCTCTCTTCTAGGGCAGATTCAAATGAAATCCTGGGACTAAAGATCCCCTTTGACCCTATTCTCAATGCCAACACGGTGTGTTTGACCCTGCCCGGCCTGACAAAGAAACAGCTGGACGTGTGTATGAGACATCCAGATGTGACGGCCTCTGCCATACAAGGCATTCAGATCGCCATCCATGAGTGCCAGCATCAGTTCAGAGGACACCGCTGGAACTGCTCAAGTCTGGAGACCAGGAACAAGATCCCCTATGAGAGTATTGTCTTCAGCAGGGGTAAGCAACAAAATAAACCTAAACTATGTGGAACTAGTGACTTCGTCAGTTTGTCAACATTTCGGGAGAAGTTTTTGGAAAATCTGGTTTGGTCTGTGCTTTTCTTGGGGCCATTGTGTAAAAGTATACAATAACAGAATTTCAAATTAATGTTGGTATTCATACTTAAATAATTGCATCTAAACTGGTTTGGTAAGCTTTAAACTGCCCCATATTGGTAAATAAATCCACGTTTGTACATTGCTAGTTGATAGTAGGAAAACTCTATCAGTCATAGGCATTTATCACTTAAAAAGTGAATGTAACTATCCTGCAAGGGGGGCTTCCCTGGCCAGCTAATGCTTTTACTTTGTGCCAGTGCAAGTGCTGTGAATTTGCTTTCAGCATTTTCCCAACCCTCAGTGGCAAAAGCAGAAACCTGTTTAGTTAGTTTCTATAACCCAAAGTGACAGTTTCCTTCAATCTTTAATTCATTTTCCCACTTCCTCCACCATCAGCGCATCCGGGCGTGCCTCTCACTTTAAATTATTTGTTAGATTGATTTGTTCCAGGTCTTTCATTGGCTTGGAAGGAAATCTAAAACAGCATTTCCATGTCCGTGTCTTCTGGCTGCGCCTAAGTGCCGTTTGCCCCCCATAGAATCATGAGAGGATTGCACGAACAAAAAAGCAGCACCGGCTGGTGTCGTGTGTGTGTGTGTGTGTGTGTGTGTGTGTGTTTCAGCATTCAGGTCTCCTCTGTGTGAGTGTGTATGTCACTGTGGGTGGGTGGGTTAATAGGTGTGAGCTCCTGTGTATTTTGAAATGATCAATTGAACATCGTTCAGCTATCTCAGATCTTTGCTCCGAGCCCCAAGGGCAGCTCTGCCATCAGCAAGCATTTTTGGAAAACACAGCGAATTCCTGACACTGACTGTTTCACACCTGATTTAAGTCTTAAAGTCTCATTAGTCATTTGTAATCGCCAAAGATGGACAAAACAGGACATGGAGATGAGGCGAGGCCGCATTCACAGGCCTAATAAGACAAGCCCCAATCTGCATTAAACACGTTTTTTTAAGTGGTAGACATAGGGTCATGGCCGGTTTAAAACTTGTTCAAACTTGGACATTTCTGTTTCTCTTGAAGGATAATTTACAATAAACCAAAGGTCTTTAGTGGTCACACAAACGCATATGAATGCAGACAGTCAATAATGCAGAAATAATCAACTTACAGTTGATTACACATACAGTAATCTGTCTTCTAGAGTTTCTTTCAGATCTTTGACATTAACCAGACTGATTAAGTCTTGTTTTCCATTGTTTTAAATTATTTAAATAAAAATGTGTGTATATATATTATAAAATTTCCATATAGTGTATATATGTCTCTCTGTCTGTCTGGCTGTGTGTGTGTGTGTCTGTGTGTGTATATACTGTACATACACACAAACATATTTATATACATATATGCTTATATGTGTATATGTACATTTACACAGACGCACACACACACACACACAGAGAGAGAGAGACATGAAATATATAAATGTAATAATATATAAACACACATATTATGTAAACAAACTTTTGTGTTAGATGCGATTAATCGTGATAAATTGATTTGACTGCACTAATATATATATATATATATATATATATATATACACTACCGTTCAAAAGTTTGGGGTCAGTGAGAATTTTATTTTTATTTTTTGGAGGAAAGAAATCAATACTTTTATTTATCAAGGAATAATTAATTTGATCGAAAGTGACAGTAAAGACATTTATAATGTTACAAAAGTCTTTTGAACTTCCTATTCATCAAAGAATCCTAAAAAAAAAAAAACTGTACAACTGACAGACCAACAACTGTTTCAACATTGATAATAATAATAAATGTTTCTTGAGCATCAAATCCTCATATTATACTGATTTGTGAAGGATCATTTGACACTGAAGACACTGGTAATGCTGAAAATTCAGCTTTGATCACAGGAATAAATTACACTTTACTATATATTCACACAGAAAACAGCTGATTTACACTGGAATAATATTTAATACTATAACTGATTTTTGTTGTATTTTTAATTAAATAAGCGCAGCCATGGTTAGCAGAAGAGAATTCTTTTAAAAGTATTTAAAATCGTACCGACCCCAAACTTTTGAACGGTAGTGTATATATACATACATAGTATTTGTGTGTATATATGTATAAGTGTGTGTCTAAATATATACTTTATATTCTTTTAGATCAGTAACCAGACTTTTTTTGAGACTTAACAGTAAAAACAGGAATTTTATATGTATACTTAAGAGAGTATTTTTCATACTGAAGAAGTGCCCTTTGATTTTAGCAAGCAGAAGGAACTATAAACTATTGAGCCTTTAGTGGGCTCTTTCATGTTTCTGAGCATGGCCTTCTTTAATTCCCCATCTGTCCCTGAAAGTGATTCAGGAGAGTCTGCTTTTATGAGACCTCCGTTTATTATTGTTTAAAACCATTAGCGTTCAACAAGCCTATAGCACACGCAGGCACCTCTGGTGAAGCATCTTCTTTACTCTGGAAACCCTGGAGAGAGAGAAAAAAACATTGTAATTAAATATTATTATACAAGGACAACAACATAACGTGCTACTGCTACATGTGGCTCTCATGTGTTCGAACGTATTTGCTGAGGAATTTCTTAAATCTTGTCAGAAAGCATTAAAGTCTGCCACACTTCAGTTCCAATAAAAAGCGTGGTGGATGAGCGCTGAAATCCAGATGAGCGGCATGTGATTAGTGCAGATCAAACGGCTGCTAACGGTAGCCAGGTTAATTGTAGCCACGTTTTGGAGCTCTTCGCAGAGCCTGTGTACAGATGAGCATGTCTGTGCTTAGCCACACTAACCAGAGCTCTCCACACCTTTTCCATTGTTCCTGCATGTGCATGCCTTGGATACTTAAGCGCTGCACTGCGTTCACTAGATTTGTTGTGCTTTGTCCTGTGAGGTCTTTCGGTTGCTTGTTGTGTGGAGGGAATATACTGGTACTGCTGTCAAGCATCAGGGTGATAGTGATCTCCTCCCCAAAGCACAGAGAGAACAAATCCACAGGGCCAAAGTGGGCGATGGACAACATTTGAGTGAGGCTTGCCTGAATAATCCCTTGTATTGTCTCTTTGGCAGGTTTCAGAGAAAGCGCATTTGCATACGCTATTGCGGCGGCCGGCGTGGTGCACGCTGTGTCCAACGCCTGCGCCATGGGCAAACTGAAAGCCTGCGGCTGCGATGAGAAACGTAGAGGGGACGAGGAGGCGTTCAGGATCAAACTCAACCGTCTGCAGCTTGAGGCCATCAACCGGGGTAAAGGAATGGTGCACGGCGTGATGGAACACTTTCCCGCCGACGCTCTCGGTCCCCAGGACTCCTGGGAATGGGGCGGCTGCAGCCCCAACGTGGAGTTCGGTGAACGCTTCTCCAAGGAGTTCTTGGACTCCCGTGAGACGTACAGAGACATTCACTCCAGGATGAGACTTCATAACAACAGAGTTGGCAGGCAGGTGAGAGACGTCGTTATGTTGGCTGTGTGTGATGTGTGACACTAAGCCTGAATGAATCAGCAGTGTTGGATTGCAAAGGGGATCGACTTACGCTCCCTTTTAAGGTGCGTTAAAACACGCTGTTCAAAGATGAGCGCTTCTTTTCTACCGAGATACTATAACCGTGTCACATGTACAAAAGGAGACAATAGCGGTTGAGTTCCTCCTTTTGATGTACCTAGAAGCTACAGATTTTCTCAGAGCGGCAGTTAAACATGAAGGGACGCTCATGTTGCAGCTGTGCTCTTGAAAGCTTCATCCCTGTCCGTTTTGCCAAGCGTAACATTTTTTTGTTTGTGCGAGGCCCTGGCCTTGAGAGAGGTTTGTTGAACTTTTTGCCTGGGCTCCTGCCTGTGCGTAAACGTAAGAGCTGGTGCCCCGTCTATGCTCAATTTGGTGCACTCATGAATCTTTTCCGATCTCCACGCAAGTGTCCACCCCCCGAACCACCTACCAACTGCAAAACACTTAAATGAGCAATAACTCCACTCGAGCAAAAGCAAACATGTGCTTCTCTGAAACGTGTTATCTTTGGATTTGGGAATGTTTAAAAGGCATTTAAGCTTTATCAAAATATGCCTTCCCTGGTGTTGCCTTTGATCAGTGAGTCCCTCCTGGTGGCAATGTGTGATGTAAGGGATCGAGGTGTTGTCTTTTTGCCTGTGTTGGACTAATTAGATAACAAGAGGTAGATTAGCGGCACTGTAGCGCAGTTAAGTTAAAAGCACTGGGAGGAATAACAGGACATGTAATAGGTGAAGAACTGATGGGAGTCTTTTGTTTTATAAGGAAAACAAGTGGATACCACTATTGCAAAAATGTCACTTATTTTAATCCATAAACATTTATTTCATGCAGCTTGTAGTACAGAGCACAAAGTCATCAGAAATAGGCTATGTAATAACACAAACTGAATTATGCAGTGACTAAAAATGTTAAACATATCAAAAACAATTTTAGATTCACTCTTTGCTTTGATGACAGCTTTACACACTCTATATTTTCCCAACCAACTTTATGAGGAGCATCCCGAGATGTCTTTCCATCTTGAATTATGTTCTCAGGACACTTGTTAACTGCTTTCCCTTCACGCTCGGTCCAAGTCATCCATCTCAAATACTTTTCTTTTCTTTTTTTGTTCTGTAAAGAAAATCATATAGTTGTCTACAAAACTAACTCAAGCCGTTGTTGCCCAGTTGTTCATAAATGTTAGACTCCAGTTCCTAAATTATTTAATAGATCTGGAAAGGGTATCCTTAAGAGTTTCAAGACAAAATGTTTTGGAATTATATGATCACAGTGAAATTTGGAAGTGGAATACATGAGCCATTTATTGTATATCCATATCCAATAAATGTCTCATGTCCATATTCTGCTTCTTCTACATCTTTGTTGTGATTAGGAGATTCTGTACTCTTTCAGAAGATGTAAAAGTGCCCCCTACCACAGTAAAAACATGGATTGCCGGAAAATTCTGTCAATGGCGGGGAAGCATTGTGTCGTAATAAATGACTGAAAATGTTGTCAGTGGTGGAGAAAGTGGAGAAAGCATTTGAAAAAAATTAATGGGCTAAATTTTTTCAAAGGGTTATTACTACAACAGTGCAACAATTAACAGATCTGGGGGAAAAAGTGCACATGTGCTGTGTGGACAGTTTGGGTTATGCAGTTTTCATAGTTCCTATAACTTTTGGTGGAAGTGGGGGCTTTTTGGCATGTTGGCATTGCAGGAACTGGGAATGATTTTAGTTATAGGAATGCCTTTTGGGTAACTTAATTAGCTACTTCAGAGTTGGGTCTAAACCAGCACAATAGGATCTACCAGTGATGTGAGTAAGTGTACGTTGATTGGCCGAACACATGCCATACAAAACACTGGCGCCTGTCATTTTTAAAAAGCAGTCTAAACACACAGTTTACATATACTTACTCCACGAACTAACTTCACGAACATGGGAAAAAACAATAAGACATAAACATATAGAAAGCTAATGTTAAAGGAGTAGTTCACTTTTTAAAAAACTTTTGCTGATAATTTACTCACCCCCATGTCATCCAAGATGTCCATGTCTTTCTTTCTTCAGTCGAAAAGAAATTAATGTTTTTGATGAAAACATTCCAGGATTTTTCTCCATATAATGGACTTCAATGGTAGCCAAACGGTTCAAGGTCTAAATGACCATTTCAGTGCAGCTTCAAAGGGCTTTAAACGATACCAGACGATGAATAAGGGTCTTATCTAGCGAAACGATCGGTCATTTCAAAAATAAATAAAAAAGTTAAAGTTTTATAGGCACAAATGCTCGTCATGCGAACTCTCCTGTTCGAACTCGTTACAAAATGAACGAATCTTTTTTCGAGTCAATGACTCGAAAAAAGATTTGTTCATTTTGATGAACGAGTCAATGACTCGAAAAAAGATTTGTTCATTTTGATGAACGAGTTTGAACAGGAGAGTTCGCATGACGAGCATTTGTGCCTATAAAACTTTAACTTTTTTATTTATTTTTGAAATGACCGATCGTTTCGCTAGATAAGACCCTTATTCATCGTCTGGTATCGTTTAAAGCCCTTTGAAGCTGCACTGAAACGGTCATTTAGACCTTGAACCGTTTGGCTACCATTGAAGTCCATTATATGGAGAAAAATCCTGGAATGTTTTCATCAAAAACATTAATTTCTTTTCGACTGAAGAAAGAAAGACATGGACATCTTGGATGACATGGGGGTGAGTAAATTATCAGCAAAAGTTTTTTTTAAAGTGAACTAATCCTTTAACGGCTTTTACCTGGCGCCTTTGTCCATGGCTTTGTGTTCTTTTCTTAGCTTCAATGATATGTTGTAGTGGAAGTTGTTGTAAGAGATTTAGTCTCTTACCCCTACTTTTCAATTGCATAACTTATATGTCTACATTCCATCTCCATTATATCGAAACCCACGACATACAGCGCTGTAATAGTAAAAACACAGCGCTGATCACGGCGTCCTCCAGTTGACGTTGTTGAATGCCGCTCTTAAATGACATTGCTGTCGGCTGGCTTACGTCACTTCAGAGTTCCTCCTACAATGAATGCAACCAGGAAAATGGCCCTAGGGGGAAATTTAGTTCTCGGGGGACAGCCTTGGGTGGCTAGTTCCAATAACTGAGTTCCTATAACTACCCGGTACGAAAGCCCCTATAAACTACCACTTCTCTTATTTCTGCGGTTTCATATTTGGTAATCCAAAGCTACTTACATTGCTTTTTTTTTACCAGATTTTTTACATTTTTGCCAGCTCATGCCAGCCCTGGGAGTTGAACCCATAACCTGGGAACCCATGAACCATAAGATCTAAGCTACATGGACTAACCCTAACTCTTAACATGTATTATTACTCTTATCACTACCCCGATTTTAAAGTCCCGCTGTTTTTAGTTTTTAATGTTCTTTATATATCTGTGGTGTTTTTAATATGCTTTAAGACAAACCATGTGGAAACTCATGTCAACACCATTGCTGAGTATTTTCTCTTTAGTACTGCAGGGATCTAAAGACAGTCTCAAAACGGGGTTCGCTGGAGTTTTTGACATCAGAAACTACCTTGTAACCAATCACGTCAACGTGCCTGCGGGCTTTGGCATATCATTAACAGGGAACTAGCTGGGGAGTCTCGAGAGATGCCAGGTTATATCTCTGAATATTTTTCTGTTGATATGAAAAATCGGGTATATTTAGCAATATAGCGGGTGTATGATGTATGTTACGATGTTATGATCAACTATATGATTTTCTCCACGTATCAAAGCGTTTCTGATTATTGTTAGAAGGCAGCTGCCTGACTCTGATATGGTGAATGGGAACATGGTTTGTGTAACATTAGCAACACATTATTAGCTGTTTGATAACATAGTCAAGCAAAAGGCTAAACATATTAATAACTGTTTCACGAGTAATCAGATCAGAGTAAAGTAGTATGCGTATTTGGCGTGCTGTTCGAGGGTTGGGCTCCCCCCATATTTCTGGTTAGGACGTAACCAGGTGAATGTGGAGACGGGGATGCTGAAAACTGTCGAGGAACATAGGTGGGTCGACTGTCTATATATACGTATATATGTATATATATATATGCCTCTGATTGGGTAGACATGTTGATTACTGATTGCTGACTGCTGGTTGGAATGACGTGATGATTGGATAGATAATTTAAACATGTTCCTCCCGAACTTTGTTAATACAACATCATTATGTGTCCAACGTTGTAAAGAGTAATACCATTGTGCAGTGTTTACCTCAGTAAGTTGGCCGAGTGGGTCTCTGAGCTGGTGGTGTGAGTGGAGGCGGGGCTAATTAGAATTTTAATGGATCCACGTATACTAAATGAATGAAGGGCGTCGAGTTACATTCAAGCTATTTTAAGGCATGAAGACATTTTTTCACAGGGAAAAAAAACGTTTGAATAATGTATGTCATTTTGGTGATCAAAGATGAGTTTTAAGGGATAAAATTATTGACTACAGAGGGACTTTAAGAGCTTCACTATTGCTTGTAACTCCAATATTGTCTAACTTACTTTGGTGTTGCAATAAACAGCAGCTCATTAGCTGTGCGTTCTAGTTGTGGGAGGCAAGATATCATCATGGATTAATCTGCTATCACTCTTTATCACGACGGTACAGAACTGAAGTGTAAATGACCATGATAAGCTCCGATGGGCCATCACTGACAAGTTCACACAGACAGAGTTGCAGATTGTTCATTGTTTGCTGCTTCCTCTTCTCCAATTTGTCTCTGTATCATTCCATCAGGTTTCTGGCTCCCTTGATTATTTAGACAAAACATACTTGGTCAGTCCTAAATAAAGTAACAGATACACTATTAAAAATAAAGGTTCCAAACTGGGTTTTTGCAACGATGCCAATGCCATAAAGAAGAACAATTGTAGCTTTGCCAAAGTACCATTCAGTAAACCGTTCTCAAAAG